TTTTGGTTTTCAGACTCCAGGTCTTTGCACATTTCATTATAGTAATTGGCTTTGTCTACTCGAGCTGCTCTTAGGTCCCTGGAATGCGAATGAGACTGCTATCACTTTAAAATCCAAAATGGCTGCCACATGTAAACAATCAAAATGGCTGCACCCTCTGGACAATGGAAAGTCAATAGCTCAGGTTGTCTCCCTTCTCACTGTTTCCCTTCCTAGTTATAGGCCACCAGTGCAGTTGTCCCGGTAGCCCTTGGTGACCAGGGCTGATCTTTAGGTCAATTCTCAGGTCCCAACACCACTTGGAAATATTCAGGCTCTTGGTTCTGGCAGAGTAGGTGACAACACTCCGCAGCTCTGACCATCTCTGTTCTCATTGTTTTCATTCAGGTTTTTCCAGTAGTTGGTGCCTAATCCACTTCTGCATAGTTCCTTTCAAAGCTCAGGGCTCCAGGATTATCTTCTGTATCTCTGTCAATTGGTTTTTCTTTTCTTTGTTGAAGAGGGTCTGTGTTGCTTGTCTGCCTATTCCTCCATCTTACTGGAAGTCCCACTCAATACTACTTCTGTCTGGACGACTTTTCTGTTCTCCTCCCCTTATCATCTCTAAGCTCTTGCACCTCTTGATGGAATCTCTGTATCCCTGCAGCACACAGTGAGCACTTAGAAAATGCTCCTCGAATATATTTATTTATTCATTCAACAAATATTTATTGAGGGCCTACAAAGTAATATGTCAAGTTCACAGGGTCTGAGATGTGGCACTGAACAAAATAGACAAAGTCTGGGCATTTGTGGAGCTCATCCTGTGACAAGCAAACAAGCAAGCACATCTATATTTTTTTTTTTCAGCAAATATTTTACAGGTGCTGTTATGGGTTGAATTATGTCTCCCAAAAATATCTGTTGAAGTCCTAATCTTTGGTACCTGTGAATGTGACTTTGTTTGGAAATAGGGTCTATTTTAGTTGTCTAGTGTTGCTATAACAGAAATACCACAAGTGGGTGGCTTTAACAGACAAAAATGACTTTTCTCACAGTCTAGGAAGCTAGACATCCGAATTCTAGGTGCCTGCTCAAAGGGGAGGCTTTCTCTCTCTGTCAGCTCCAGGGGAAGCTTCTTGTCTCTTCAGCTTCTGTTTCCTGGTTCCTTGGAGATCTCCATGTGGCATCTTTCTTCTCTCATCTCTGCTTCCCACTATCTGCCTGGTCAGCTTATATATCACAAAGGCATTGCTTTAAGACACACCCTACACTGATAAGGCCTCATTAACGTCATAAAGAAAACTCTATTCCCAAATGGGATTACATCCATTAGTATAAGGGTAAGGAATTACAATACATATTTTGGGGAATATAATTAAGTCCATGGGAACTCTGGTGGCATAGTACCTAAGGCATTTGACTGCTAACCAGAAGGCTGGTGGTTCAAACCCACCAGGCACTCCTCTGAAGGAAGACTGGGCAATTTACTTCCTTAGAGATACTGCCTCAGGATGTGTGGCCATGTTTCTGGTGTCCACTCATCCCCATGGTGGTGAAGAGGCAAGTGAGGGAGAGTAAGCAGAGGACGGGATGGGAAATCAAGTGTCGGATTCTAGTACAGCTGCAGGTTTGCTTTTGGAACTCAATGATCCCAAATAACTGTCAGGTCTAATGACGCCACCTCCACAATTAACTAAGTTGTTGTGAGGAATCAATAACGTCATGTTTTAAAGCACCCAGCAAAGGCCCAGGCCTTTAGGAAGTGTTTAGTAAATGGTGCAGGCTCTGGAGTAAGAAAGAACACTGGCCCTGGCACCATCTGCTGTGTGAATTCTCATCCTTTTTTTTTTTTTTTTTTTATATAATTTAATCCTCTTTATAGTCCCTGTGCATCTGTTAAGAAGGTATCCATTCTACACTGACACACACAGCGTCACCATGCATCAAAGTTGATTCCACAGCGACTGGTTTTAAGCCTAATGTTGTGAACAAACAAAAAACCCGTTGCTCATGAGTTGATTCTGACTCATAGCAACCCTACAGGACAGAGTAGAACTGCCCACAGGGTTTTCAAGGCTGTAAATCTTTACACAAGCAGACTACCTCATCTTTCTCCAGTGGAGCAGCTGGAAGTTTCAAGCCATTGAATTTTCAGTTAGCAGTTGAGAGCTTAACCATTGCACCCCCAGGGCCCCCTCTGTAAACTATGAGTGCTGTGAGAATGGAAGAGGCAGGGGCAAATTACCCAATAAGCAAAGTAAACACGGGCTTACTTGTGTTTATTTACTAATCGGTAATCAACATTTTCACACATGTGCAGGCAGTTCCGTTTCACACATGTGAAACTGTTCATTATCGATTTGCAACTAAACACAAGTAAGCCCATACTTACCTTACTTACCAGGTACTCCACACTTGATGTTGTTGTTGTTGTTATGTGCCGTCAAGTTGGACCCCACTCATAGCGACCCTTCCTTGGGTTTCCGAGGCAGTATCACTACAGAAGTAGATTGCCCCATCTTCCTTCCGAGGAGTGGCTGGTGGGTTTGAACCGCCAGCCTTCTGGTTAGCAGTAAGGTGCCTTAGCCACTATGCTACCAGAGCTCCTTCCGCACTTGATAGGGCTGTGAATTTGAAAAGAGGTTTTGATTGTATAGGAAGGTGCTGTGGGGTTGATAGAGAGATAGATGCCTGTCATACCTAGAAGCAAAATGTTTGATGTGAAAAAATGTGAAATTGTTCACTACAGATTAGTAAGTAAGCACAAGTAAACCCATGCTTACCTGGCTTATTGGATAATGTGACACTGGGAAGGAGTTAAGGTTGTGTTCATCCTTCCTAGTATGAAACAAGATGTTAAGACTATATATACCCCCACCTTGCTCCCACCTGGCTGGGCTACCTCAGCTCACAGGGTACCACTGCCCTCTTATGGTCATGGCTCGACTCAACAGATGGGCCCTTGCGCTTTCTTCTGCTCCAGTGCTTTCCTTAGGTGGGGAGGGTGTGAGGGTCTGGCCTGCCCACTTGCCCAGTGACCAGTGCAGCACTAGCATTTGTGTCAGAGACTCCCTCACAGGGTTGGTAGTCATGAGTCTTACTTGAGTGAAAGAAGTGCCCTCCTTTTGGAATTTATAAAATTCTTGGTCTGTGTGGTTGATGCAGGCAGTTCCATTTACTCCTCTTTGTAGTCCCTATAAGGAGCACTAGTGGTGCAGTGGTTAAGCGTTTGGCTGTTAAAAGAAAGGTGGGTGATTGGAACCCACCAGCTGCTCTGTGGGAGAAAGACGAGGCAGTCTGCTTCTGGAAGTATTTACAGCCTTGAAAACTGTATGGGGCAGTTCTACTCTGTCCTATAGTGTGGCTATGAGTTGGAAGGGATTTGACCGCAGTGGTTTGATTTGGGTACAGTCCCTGTGCATGATGAATTATCATCTCCAATTCTCTGATGTTGAAATCAAGTTTGTTGTATTATAAACTAAACCATGCAGGTTAAGGGTCAGAGAGAAGGTAGTGGCAGGCAGGGAGAGGATGTAAGGAAAATGCTTCTATTAAATCGGACACAGGAATGAAGCCACATACACATCTGTTTGCTGAATCCTTAGAAAGGTGGCTGGTAGGTGGCACACAGAAAGCATTCAATTCACAAGATGGATAAATATGAGGATCTTTGTATTATATGGGCATTTGCCCTCTCTGCGAAACACACTTGTCTTGCAAGGTTTGACTTGTTTTCTTAGATGTTATGTTGTTAGGTGCCAATGAGTCGCTTCCAACTCATAGCGAATCCATGCACAGCAGAACGAAACACCGCCTGATCCTGCAGCAGCTCCATGATCCTTGCTATACTTGAGCCCATTGTCGCAGTCACCATGTCAATCCATCTTGTCGAAGGCCTTGCCCTCTTTCGTCGACTCTCTACCTTACCAAGCATTTCTTAGATAGTTTCACGTTTTTTTCAAAAGTCATGAAGTGAATCAGTTCATTCAAAAGAAGTTATAATGAAAGAAGAGAACCAGTGAGTATCCGGAGCATTGTTGGTGGAGGAGGTGATGGTTGGTGTTGAACCAGCAACCCTGCAGGGCGGCTGTAATGTAAAATACTGGGCCTACTAGAAACGGTGTAGAAAGAGGCTGTTCTTTCTGTCCAATATAGTGTTTCCTGCACATTCCGCCTCTTGACTTCTATCAAACAAAAAAAGAATCAGACTCTTAGCAGTTAAGGATTAGAAGGAAACTCAGAGGTCCATTTCTCAAATACCTTTGTAAGCAATAAGTGGGATGATGAGTGTGAGAGAGTTTTGATAAAAAAGCCATACGTCACAAAACGTGAGACTTGGGTATACTATTCCACAGGTGCGGCCCTGCCAATAGTAAACATGGCAATTCGGCCCCTACTTCCCTTCAAGTTAACCTCATGCTTGCCAATAGTCAACATGGCCATCAGTCCATGCTCTCCCATTGGTAGCTTCTCCAAGGCCCCGCCCCACCCCACCAGTGAGAACGTCGGCAGGGAATTGCGGGACCAAATACAGTGCCTTCGGGCCTGGTTGCGCCTGCGCAAATCATTGGCGCCAAGATGGCGATGGAAATGAGACTTCCCGCTGCTCGTAAGCCTGTTAGCGAGAGCTTGGGTCACGAAACTAAAAAACACCTGGTGGTGCCGGGGGACACGATCACTACAGACACAGGCTTCATGAGGTATGTGGGGACGTGGGGGACTGGGTACTCCAGCGAGCGATTGTGGGGCTCTGCACGTGGCCTACTAGCTCGAAACTCGGGCCTCTGGCGTCTAAGCCCCTCTGGGACCCAGAGGATTCTCCTGAGCATCCCAGTCTTCGGGTTTCAGAGGACTCGGCTTTTCACTCCCTGTATCATGTTTGTTCGCGTTTGTCTGAAGCCCTTCTGACTTCTGGTCGCCCTGCCCCTCGGGTGCTCTGAACCTTCCTTGTTGAAAACCTGAAAAACCGAGGAGAGTCCGTAATAGGGGCCTTTTTCCGGTTTTCAAATGAACGATGGGCCTCCGTCCGTCTCCCTCAGCGTCATCTGGGGGCCAGGGACTGGGTTTTGGAGTCAGTGATAGTTTGGGTTTAAGGTAGACAAATTGTGCTTCATGCATCGAAATATACAAACTAAAGTCTAAACGCAGTGTAGTTTGTTGTAGTTAAGAAAGCACGCTCTTGAGTCGAACAGTCCGGGTTCTAGTCCTGCTGCGGTCACTTATTAGCTGTATTACCTCTTGGAACGTGTTTTGTTATCTATAAGTGTTAATAACAGCAACGATTGCCCAATCTTCTTTTTGAGAAGTGACTGGTGGGTTTGAACCGCCAACCAGAAGTCTGGGGTTCAGACCCACCAGCCACTCCTCGGAAGGGAAATTGGGCAATCTACTGCCTCGGAAACCCAAGGAGGGGTCGCTGTGAGTCGGAGATGACTCGACAACAACAACAGCTGGCAGGGTAGTGAGGATTAAATGAGATTATTATAATGTGGAAAAGAGAAAAATACATCCAAAATGCTAATAATCTGCTTTATCTGCAGATAAACACTATTAGCATTTTGGTGGTATTTCTGTTCTTTTTTTTGGGGGGGTAGGGGATGGGGGACTCATTACAGCATTGCTTTTTCCCTGGGTTTGAGGTTATTGAATTCTAGGAGACCTTACAATTCAGTCCTCCATTAATGCATTCAACACATTTATATCATGTGCACTTGAGGTACAACAGTGAACAAAATCTGCCCTGGTGGAGTTTAAATTCTAACAAGGAGAGGCAGATAAACAAGTAAACACAGCATATAAATATGTAGAATGTTTGCTGTTAAATGTGATGGTGGAAAAAAAAAAGTTGATCAGAGTCATGGGAATGGGTTTGGGAATATGGTAGTGCAACAGCAGGGTAGATGACTATTTTAAATTGGGTAGGTCTGATGGAGAAAGTGATATTTGAGCACACTTAAAGATGATGAGGGAGATGTTCATGGAGTTCTCTGGAGAAGCAGTGTTCCAGGTCCATAGAGTATCCAACACAAAAAGTCAGGCTTTAAGGCAGAGGGAACCTGGTAGGTTGGAGGAACACATTCTTGAGGGGAGAGGTCACCTCAAGTGTTACTCTGCTGTCCTTCGTGGCTGTGTCTTGCAACAGGGGCCATGGAACATATATGGGGGAAGAGAAGCTCATAGCATCTGTGGCTGGCTCCGTGGAGAGAGTAAACAAATTGATTTGTGTGAAAGCTTTGAAAACCAGGTGAGGACAAAAGGTGTGTATTCTCTTTCTTTGCTGTATCCATATTACATGACTAGGTCTCTTCTTTCTCCCTCCTCTCAACTGCCCCATCATTCTGTGGGTCTGTGATTTTGAACATGACATGACGATAGCAAGTACCGTATAGATAAGTGTGGCTTCAAAGGTTTCTCCCCATTACCTAGCTTTTCCAGCCTCCTCTATAAAATGAGAATAAAAGCATAACCTACTTTGTAGGATTTTTGTTAGAATTCAGTGAAATGATGAATTCATGTAAAAGCACAGAGCCTAGTACTGGAAGGGCTCAGAAAAGGTTAGCCCCAGAAAGGAAGCCAGTGGAGTTGGAACAGAGTAAATTAGGGGGAGAGTGGGAGCAGAGAGAAATGGAGGTGGGAGAATAGTCTAGCTTGCCTTGTAGGCCATTGTAAGCATTTTTGCTTACACTTTGTGTAATTTGGGAAGACTGTGGAGAGGGTAGAGAAGAGGAGGGACATGATTGGATGTAAGTTTTAATAAAACTACTCTGGCTGCTATGAGAAAATGGAAGGGGAACTGGGTGCAAAAAGGATGTACGGGCAGCATCTTCCTGTGACTTCCTCCAACCTCACAGCGGGGGAAAAAGTCACCACCAACACTCCAAGGCTTATTCCTAAGAGGCCAGACACACTACCAGCCTCCAATCTTCCTGCCAGTTCTGACATGAACTGTCCCTACCAAGGCACTCACTTCCCTGCTGGGTTTGATAGTTTGTTGCAGTGGTCACACAGAACTCAGACAATACTCACAATTATGGGGGCGGGGGTGGAGTAACAGGCTACAACTCAGGTTCAGGAACGTGCTCAGGACACAGTTCTTCGATCAAGTCAGTCTCCCCTCTGCTATGCCGTCAGGCACGCCTCTCTGGCCCTTGGCTCTGCTGGTAGGTGCACCCCACTCTGCCAACAAGCCTCCTGTTCAAGGGCACTCAGCTTTCTTACTCCATGGGCTGGTAAGGTTGCTGCTCTGTCTCATGCCTCTTGGTTCCACTGCCACTGTCTCTCAGCCAGGGCATCTCTGCTGAGGCGTCTTTGCCAAGGAGGTCCAGTGCAGGGATCTTAGGTCCAAGAACTTTGCAGGGATCTTAGGTCCAAGAACTTGCTCCATTCCACTCCAACTCTGGCTCTTCTCTCTTGATGGGAGTGAGAGCCCCTCCTCTGCATCTAGGAGGGCTCATTTTAAGCCCAGCTGCGTGGCAGAACCAACCAATCCCAGCATTAGAGTTTATACATCTTACTTGCATGGTCCCACCCAGTAATCTGGTGGAAGTCACAAGTCCATGGCTAGTAAAGCCATACCAAGTAATTGTACCACACCGGGGCAGACTTAAGGAGAAGAATTCATCAGAACTGATGGGAGTTTGGAATGAGGTAGCAGCAGTGGAAATGGGAATCAGTGATTTAATTCTGCATGTATTTGGAAAATGGAGCTGGAAGGATTTGCTGCTAGACTGGTTGTAGAACATGAGAGACAGACAAATCAAAGATGCCTCTCCAAAGTTTTTGGCTTGAGCATCTGGGAGGATGAGGTCACCACTTACTGAGATGAGGAGAGGAACAGTTTGCTGGAGGTGGAAAGGAGAGAGGGAAGAGGAGGTTGCTGGCAATCTTAGTTTGGGGCTTGTTACATTTGAAAATGCCTGATAGTCATCTAAATGATATGTTGGGTAGTTAGCAGTGGAATAGAATCTGGAATGAGTGGAGTAGTCATTATTGGTATTTAAAGCCATTAGATTGAATGAGCTTACCAAGAAATGCATGTGGACTGAAAAGAGAAGAGGCCCAGGGACTGGTCTTCAGCATTGGAATACTTCATCATTAGAATCAAAGGGATGAGGGACTAGCAAAGGGACCTGCGACAGGGCAGCCAGTGGGTAGGGGAGATAGTCACCCATTTGATTGGCATCATTGCTGCTTTGGATGGCATCCTGTCTCAGAGTCTCCTTTTTCCTTCTCTGGTACAGAGCCCACAGGAAAATTTCCCATGCTTTACAATGTCGTGTAATCTAACAAAATAGGGATTTTAGGCTTAATAAACTGCTTTCCATAAGTGGTTTAATAATAATAACTGAGATTTTAGGCACGTAGGGATGCTTGAAGTTATCAAGTCCTGAAAATAAGTCCGGACAGTCTAGTTAGGTGAGTTTGCTAAATGTAGACTAATCAGTGCCCTCATCCAATTTAACTGAAGCCTCAAGTGGTGCTTGGTCATGTAAGACAGCCTGTTCACTGATGACCTTTTGCTTTATCTTTCAGATATAATGGTGAAGTAGGAGACATTGTAGTAGGGAGAATCACAGAGGTAAAGTCGATATAAGATTGATTTTTACCAAGTAAAGGCAAGTTAGTGATTTAATGAATGGGGTGGTCATTCTGTGTATAGTTATATTAATGAGGCATTCATTCCATTTGGCTGTTTGTGACCTATGATGTAAACACTTGGCTTGTTGTATTTGAGATTATCAATTACCTAAGAGGTGAGCATTTACCTCTGGAGTATGTGTCCAGGTGTGGATTTTTTTTGTTTGTAGGTTCAACAGAAGAGATGGAAGGTAGAGACCAACTCCAGGCTGGATTCAGTCTTGCTTCTCTCATCCATGAACCTTCCTGGAGGAGAGCTGGTAAGGATCTCAAACAAGGTCCTGGGACTGTACACCTTGCCTAGGGGGAGCTGTGAGGCCCTCTGCTCCACCAGAGAACTTTGCCTTACATTGAGCTTGCTATTGTTTCTCTTGTTTGCCTGCTGTGACGACTGCTGCCTGGATGTAAGCCTAGGCCTTTCACCTGACCTAGTTCTCCCAGCACAAGTTGCAGTTGGTGTGTGGTGTCAGGAATGTCTATAGTAAGATTCCGAAAGAGTTGAGGAAGAGATCCCAGATACTTGATGCTAACAGTTTTCCATTTCTGTGTATATCAGCTTTGCACAGTGAAGGTGTGCCTTGAAAAGTTATATTTATTGTTTTGGGAATTGAGTGGCACTTGGTTATTCCAGACAACTGCAGCAACTAAATGCAGTCTTTTGCAAAATACCATGGTTCACCTTTATTTTCAGTCCATCATATATTTACAGACACTTACTGTGCTAGGTTTTGTGGAGAATGCCAAGACAAAAGAGACAAAATTGATTTCTTAAAGCATTTACAGACTATCAGGGGATATGAGATCATCCAAATTCGGGGCAGTACAGTTTACACACAATAAACAAGTGTGTAATTGTACAAAAAGATGAATTCATTTCAGTGGGAGGAGATCAGAGTTGATCCTTGAAGGATGGATAGAATTTAAATGATGAGTTCAGGGATTCTGAGATAAAGGGAAGTGTGGGAGCAAAGAAACAGTGAAGTAGGAAGTAGTCTGGTCATGCTGGAGCATGGAGGGCTGTCATGGAGGGTTAATGTGGAAAAGCAGGCTGGCCGAGATTGGGAGGGTTTTGAATATCAGGTAAGGCATTTGAGTAAGAGAGGAGGAGAAGAGTTGAAAGGTCTAAGCTGGAAAGTAGTGGTTATCACTCTTGTTTCCTTTGAGTGGCACAGGCTATCTTGTCATAGTTCTTAGTGTTTGAATGTCGTGGTTGGCTTCAAAGGTCTCAAGAGGAAGTAAAAGAGAAGAAGAGAGAATCTGACTTAAGTAACATGGTCATTTCTTTGTGTATTTCAGAGGAGAAGATCTGCAGAAGATGAGCTTGCAATGAGAGGTTTCTTGCAGGAAGGGGACCTTATCAGTGTATCCTGCACCTTACATTTTAGCAGCTTCATGCTTTTATGTGGAACTGGGAAATGTGGCTGAAATTGCTTATCTTTGACAGGAGAAACATGTAGTCCTAACAGGTGTCTGAGTCCCAGATCAAGTGTCAAGGGCTCTGCCACAGGTTTTCTCTGTCTCCTTGACTCAGACTGACCTCTGGCTCTTGTTCAGACATGCTGCTAAGTCATTTCTTTGGGTCTTACAACCTATGGTGGCCCTTGTGTAGGCCAAACTCGTTTTCTTAATGATGGTTTAACTTTTACCCCAGGGTGTAGAAAAGATATTATTCCTATCAAGAAACTCGTGACAGAGGGGAGAGGTCAGGTCGCAGTGATGTCCTCAGGGTCATTCCAGTTGTAAGACTGCCCAGTGGGACTGTTGGAGACAGCAGGAAAGGATGGAGACATTGGGGGTAGGGATGTGAAGGAGGGAGGTGACGTGAATGTCAGTGGCCAGAGCTGCTGTTTTTTCCTTCATCACCCTGGCCAGGCTGAGGTACAGGCAGTGTTCTCTGATGGAGCTGTTTCTCTTCACACGAGGAGTCTAAAATACGGAAAAGTAAGTTGGGCTCTTACCGTTCTGTTTGTTGACCAAGACTTAAGTCCATTTCTGAATCTGTGAATTCTCTTGTGGAATTCTGACCCACAGAACCTCAGAGGTTAACAAGCATTCAGGACTAGCATCCCACAGTGTCAGTGTTCTCAGAGTTTAGAGGAAGGAAGGTCAGGATTCACATGGTCATGGGCCAGTAGCATTGTAAAGGATGACAGCTTTCATTCCTTTCCTACTGAGGAGATTGTTGGGGCAGAAGAGCCCCCTGTGACCACGGGCTGGGAGGCTCTGCTCACTCTGCTCTTCCCAGGGGGCACTGCAGATATGCATCAGGTCCAGGGCTGAGAGGCAGTTCTTGAAACTAAGGAAGGTCACAGCCTGATGAAACAGGGCAGTCTCAGCCCTTTGAGAAATATCATGAAGAAAATGTATTATTTCTAGGAATGATTGATTTGTCACTTGAGTACCTAAGTGCAATCTGTTTTTCTTGTATGAGGTTACATTATGGAGGTTGTTTACTTTTTTAAAGGTAGCATACTTCCTAACATAAAATTAATTAGTCTCTTGGCTCCATCTAGGAGCTTTGGTAGCACTCTGGTTAAAGCATTGGGCTGCTAACCAAAACGTCAGCGGTTCAAATCCATCAGCTACTCCTTGGGAGAAAGATGAGAAAGGCTGGTTCCATACAGATTTATAGTCCTGGAAACACTATGGGGCAATTCTACTCTGCTCTAGGGTTGTTAGGGTCAGAATTGACTCAATGGCAGTGAGTTTGGTTTGGTTTGGTTTTTGGCTTTATCTGGGTGAAACTTCATTTTCAACAATAGTCAGCCTTGAAACAGGAGACAGAATGGCTGCCTTGTGTGTGCTGCCCTTCCTAGGCCAGGTTACTGCCCAGTGACACACATGTCACATGTACCATAGCTGGTTGTGGTTAAAGATATGATCCAGGGTCATGGAACAGAACATTGTTCCTTGGCCCACAAAAAGCTCTAACCCATGTCCTCATTGGCTTCAGCTTCTAAAAGCCAGCTCACCAGTCCTGAATTAGAATGGATGATTACAAAGGAAAATGATAGAGAAGAATATGAAAAATTACTTTATGGGAATATAAAACCTATGAATTTAGAATTTATCTTTGGAAAAATGCTTACTTACTATGTAATCTACTTTCCATTCATCTCACTGATCATCCTGTAACAACTTAAGATGTGTCTCTCTTTTAGCTAGGCCAGGGTGTTTTGGTCCAGGTTTCACCCTCCCTGGTAAAACGGCAGAAGACTCACTTCCATGATTTGCCGTGTGGTGCCTCAGTGATTCTGGGTAACAACGGCTTCATCTGGATCTACCCAACCTCTGAGCACAAGGAAGAGGAGGCAGGGGGCTTCATTGCAAACATGGAGGTGAGTCAACCCTGCTGCTGATGTTGGTGGATGAAGTAGCACTTGGTCTTTGGTGTGTTTTTAAATTATATTACTGCTGTAGTCTGAGTTAGTTTGAATCTCCACTGAGGTGTGTTTATGAACGTTGTATTGCCTTCTGTGTTTGGAAGCACTGAAATTGGGGACTGCTGGCAGAGATAGCAGAGTTGCAGGGTAGGTTAACTGAAGGACCATGGAAGAAACTATCCTTTTTACTCTCCTTTGGAGTTAGCTGATTTGTTTGGTTTGGAGTCCAAGAGTGATGCTGTTTATGTCATGGTTTCTTTTCTGTGATTTACTGTGACCACTCATTTATCTGGGTCCTTTTTTATTTCCCTTTCCTTCCTGGTACTCTGCTTTCCTGCATCTACTTTGTAGCCTGTATCCCTTGCTGATCGAGAGGTGATATCCCGGCTTCGGAACTGCATCGTCTCGATGGTAACTCAGAGGATGATGCTGTATGATACCAGTATCCTGTACTGCTATGAAGTGTCCCTTCCACATCAGGTACTCCACCCAGGGCGTCCTTATTCTTCGCTGATCTGTGTGCAGGCTTTAGTTGTTTATCTGTCAGGTCCACTGTTTCCACAGTGACAGCAAGCACATCTTCCAATTAACCTTTGTCACACCCATGTATGAACTAGTCTGGTAGATCTTAGATACTTCCAGTATTCTCAGTGTCTAGTAGAGTAATAGTTAAGTGCTTGGCTGCTAACCAAAAGGTCAGTGGTTTGAACTCAGCAGCTGCTCTGCAGGAGAAAAGATCTGGTGATCTGTTCTTAGGAATATTACAGCTTAAACTCTGTGGGACAGGTCTCCTATGTCCCATACAGGGTTGTTATAGTTAGAACTGACTTGATGGCATGCAACCACAGTATCAGTCTAAGGATTTAGGGAGATGGATGTGTAAAGTGGGATTAGTTTATGACAGCAACCCTTTTGCTTTCATCTTGCCCACTCCAAATTTAATGAAAGTCAAAATATTAACTTCGTTCTTATCAGTTATATCCCACAGAATCTTGCTAATTTATTAAGCTGATTCTAGTAGATCATATCTTGCAGCACTTCATCTCTGATAAATAAAAGGAATACAGGTAGTTTATATTAACCTTGTGTGGTTTCTGTGTTTGGATTGCCTTGGTGATCTGCCGATGGTTGGTTTCTTTTTGGATAAATGCTTTTATCTTTTCTCTGTCAGATCAAAGACATCTTAAAGCCAGAAATAATGGAAGAAATTGTGATGGAAACACGCCAGAGGCTGCTAGAACAGGAGGGATAAGGAGAGGCATCTGAAGGACATGACTGTATGTACCTGGCTGGAGCTGTTTTTGAAAGTGAAGATTCAGATTTATGGTCCCTATGTGTAGCTCAGTGAAGAACCGAGAAACTCATCACTGGATCTGTATTGACCGCTGTGGGGCTGCCTCCAGTCCACACCTTCTTTCTCCTAAGATATCCTTGGATGGAGAGTGAATAGTGCTGAGTCCTAGCACTAGAGGGTACTGTTGCAGTCAAATGGACTTCTGTCCTGGAATAATACGGTGGATTTTTTGTCTTACACTTACCATCATTCAACACCCACAATACCCATGAAATTGCCCCTATGAAAAACAGGGTATCCCTTTTTTCCTTCTGTAGTTAAAGTAGTAATTCACGAACTTTTGAGTTAATCCAGGGTTAAAAGATAAAAGCAAATCCCCAAATTGCCTTTGTCTTCTATTCCCACCTCTAAGTGCAAGTACAATTCTAGTTGTACTTGAAGAACACGGTAAAGTTAATCTAGCAGTTAAATGGAAGAATAAAGTTAACCAAGCAGTTGTTTGCTTTGGTTTGAATCTTATTTCCCACTGAATATTCTTTCTGGTGTTAGTTGCATATATATCCACCATAGACTGCCTTAATCTCTGTCCTGCCTTTAAAGAGTGATTTGTAAGAAGCCGGATTATTATAGACAACAGAGAGAGTGAATGTTCTAGGTTTATGTACTTCTGGGTGCTCTGATAAACAAAACAGAAAAATGGAGATGGAAAAAGAAAAGCTGTTTGCTTTCTATAGTTGAAGTAGTAATGCATGAACTTTCAAGTTAATCCAGGGTTAAAAGATAAAATCAAGGTGCTGTTCCCACTGAGGAATGCTAAGATTCCTTGCATGGTTTTTCTGATGATTGTTTAAAAATGGTGCCCTAATTTAATTTAGGTTGTTGGAAAACATTTTTTAAAGGCACTGTTTTAAAGTCTATTTATTTCAAATATGTAGTAAAGTGCTTTTGTATATAGTGGTGGTAACACCATTGATTTCTCTTGTGCTCTGTGAAATAATTGGGAGCTGAGTATAATAGAAGGCAGGGTTAGCAGATATAAATTCCTTCTGACACTTCTTAACTATATTTGGGTTACCTAATAAAATTTAACCCTGTGAGTTTCAACGGTAGTAACTTTTGAACCCTGGACTTGACTGATACGAAAAACATTGACTCTATTTCATTAAATGGTATGTTTCTTTTCCTTTTAACATCACTCAGTAAAAAATTTTTATGTCCAACTTGTATCACCTGTTTTGATGAGTTTGCAGACTCATTAAGGTTCTATGTTGTTGTTACGTGCCGTTGAGTCATACCCGACTCATAGTGATCCCTCCTTGGGTTTCCGAGGCAGTATCACTACAGAAGTAGATTGCCCCATCTTCCTTCTGAGGAGTGGCTGGTGGGCTTCTCATTTGAAGTATTTTTGAGAAAAATTTGCAGGCCTTAAGTGTCTTGAAAGAAGGGAACAGAATAGTGCGCATCTGAGTGCCACGTTTGGTTTTGACTAAGGCCATATAGTAAGCTCACTGGAAATTTATCCTTATCACTAGGTCTTAGCCTGTGCTGCTCATTCTGTGCTGAATGGTGATTGACTACTAAGTAGAAATAATAGAAGGGTTTCAAAGCACCTTTCGGTGATTATTTTCTGTAACCCACTAGAGGGCACCCTTGTTAAATGTAATTTCAGTAGGTTTAAAACTGAAAAGCTGACAATTTTACACTGGTATTGAAATCCCTTAGCAACCTGGTGAGTTGCTTTGCTTTTTATAAAAGTCAGAACAAAATTAGACTAAACAGAATCATTTTTAATGAAAAGGATATGAGCTTAAAGGAATTTAGTCAGCATTTGGAAACATTTATTTACTTCTGAAAGGCATTTGCTGGGCTCTGGATCCAATTTTCAGTCCTCAAAAGTATCATTCTTTAGTGTTATACAGGAAGTGAAAAATAGTTATCTCTAGAGAAAATATTACAGTCTGGGCTTGGGGCTCATTTAAAACTAACAAGCAGTGAAAAATGGAGATTAGGGATAAGCCTTTAGTTGATCTTTACACTGACTATCATAGTGCAGAGTCTCAGTCATTTACTATGAAAAAAACAAACAAACCAGGATCTAACTTGATCCTCACAATAAACCTTGTGAAGTAAACAGGTAAGACCCCCATTCATAGGTAAAGAAGTAGATTCATTGAATTAAAGTGACTTAAGTCCATTAGCAATTGTGAATAAGAACTATGCTTAAGGTCTAGAGTGTTATTACAAAGCCCTTCTTTAGAGGATGGATTGGACTTAACTGAAAGATTATGGATCTAGAAATTGAGACTGATATTTTGTATTACTACTTTTTTTATATTTGCTATCCTTCTCCCATGTATGCTCCATGAGGACAAGGACAATTTTTCCCTCCCACAAGCACCTAGAACAGTGCTTGGTACATCATATATGCTCAAGAAATGCTTATTCAACAAATGGTAAATACATTTTTCAAGGAACATGTATTAGAAAGAGGTCTGATTTGATTGTCCAATTTTAAGCTAAACTAGAGAAGAAGATGTGGAAGAAATCACTATAGCATGAATAGAACTCAAAGTAAAATTCCCCAAAACAAATATTGGGGTGGGAAGAGATAATCAGGATAATGGGGAAATAAAGGGGACCAAGGGTCTTAAAATTTTAAGAATGACTCAGAAGTTGTTCTAGTAGACATCAACCAGATAGTTTATTCTGTGATGGTGAGCAAAACTAAACCAATTATCTGACGTTGGACATTACAGTTACAAATCTAAGCACACATTTTCATATGCTTCACTTGCAAATGATTCATTTCCTCTTGAAGCTAATACCTGTACAATTAGAGCAGAAATGTGATTGAAATAGAAATTTCATAGCATTTTCCAACCCAGCAGAAATAATTCTAAAATACATTAAATTGGGTTAATTTGTCACTTGCATATAGCACCTGAATGTACAACATTTATAATGGGGCTGTGGTTTTCCCCCAATATCAGTAGCAACTTCTGAAAAAAACCTTTGTAGTATATTATGTCAGTAGTTATTTGATATCGAATGGTAAATTGGAAAAAACATCCGTATAAAACCCAAACTCAATGCCATCAAGTGGATTCGACTCATAGTGACCCCTCCTTGGGTTTCTGAGGTGGTATCTCTACAGAAGTAGATTTCCCAACCTTCCTTCTGAGGAGTGGCTGGTGAGTTTGAACTGCCAGCCATCTGGTTAGCAGTCAGATGCCTTAGGCACTATGCCACCAGAGCTCCTAACATCTGTATAACGGGAAGTAATATTACAAACCACTAGACTGTAATGAGGATTAAATGAGATAATGGGAGTTGATGAAAAATGCTTAGTAACATTGCTCGGTGTAGAGTAGGCTTTGATGAGTAGATTTCTTTAGAAATGAGTATATCCCAACCAGGTGCAGTGTTTTGAGGAGACATTGAAGATAAAGAATAGGGAGGCTGGGTGCTTTTCAGTTGTGAAAGATGGGTCATGACAGGTAAGTCTGTTGTGTGGGTCATTCACTAGCCCTGCAGTCCTGCTAAACCCAATGATCTGAGCATTTTCGTGGCTATCATGGAAGGTGTATTATGTGAATATGAGTTCACCTATGAAATGAGGTTATTTAATCTTAAAGGTTCATTCTAGCTTGAGCATCTGTGACTGCCTGGCAAAGCCTTGGAAAGGTGTTTAATAAGTGCTATATGTTGAATGAGTGAGCATTGTGATACCTGGAGAAAACAATTGAATTTGTTAGTAGTATGTTGGATGTTTTCCAGCTATATCTTTCTTCACTAGCTAATACTTTCCATTCTGTCTGTCTGTCATACTATGGTGAGTTGCGTGTTGTGATGCTGGAAGCTATGCCATCAGCATTTCAAATACCAGCAGGGTCACCCATGATGGACAGGTTTCAGCAGAAACCAGACTAAGACTAAGAAGAAGGACCTGGCAATTTACTTTTCATTCTCAAAATGAGAAGAGTTGCAAATATCCATTAATTGGAATGTAGAATGTATGAAGTATGAACCTAGGGAAATTGGAAATCATTAGAAATGAAATGGAATGCATAAAGATTGATATCCTAAGCATTAATGAACTGAAATGGACTGATATTGGATACTTTTAACTGGACAATCATATAGTCTCCTTTGCTGGGAATGACAGATTGAAGAGGTACAGTGTCACATTCATTGTGAAAAAGATTTCAGTGTCTATCCTGAAGTACAACACTGTCAGTGATAAGATAATATCCATATGGCTAGAATGAAGTCCAATTAAAAAGATTTCAAATTTATGTACCAACCACTAATGCCAAAGATGAAGAAATTATTTTTACCAACTTCTATACTTGGAAATGGATTAAACATGCAATCAACATGCATTGATAATTAGAATGCAGAAATTGGAAAGAGATCGATAGCTGTAAAATATGGCCAAAGTGACAAATGACGCTAGAGATCACATGATAGAATTTTGCAAGCCCAATGACTTGCTTATTGCAAATACCTTTTTTCAGCAACATAAATGGTGACTATATATGTATACCTTGCTGATGTCATACATAGGAATCAAATTGACTACCTCTGTGGAAAGCGATGATGGAGAAGCACAATATCAGTCAGAACAATGCCAGGGCTGACCACAGAACAGACCAATTGCTCATATGCAAGTTAAAGTAGAAGCTGAAGAAAATTAAAACAAGTCCACGAGAGCCAAAGTATGACCTTCAGTATATCCCACTTGAATTTAGAGACCATTTCAAGAACAGATTTGACTCACTGAACACTAATGATCAAAGACCAGACTAGTTGTGGGATGACATCAAGAACATTGTACTTGAAAAAGCAAAGGTAATTGAAAAGACAAAGGAAGACCAATATGGATGTCATAAGAGACTCTGAAACTTCTTGAATAGAGAGTAGCTAAAATGAATGGAAGAAATGATGAGATAAAAGCT